GAGCTTCTTTAAGGCTTTATCACCACACAATCTCGGTAACCTTTTAACAACCTGCGCTGCAGTTTTACTTTAAGGATATAATTAACTAAAATATGGCGAAAATATTCTTTGTGTGCTCCATATTAAAATTGACGCCAAGCAAACAAATTTACAAATACAAAATTACGCGTACTTGTTTTTTCTAAAGAAAGCTAAAATTGAAGCAATTGAATGGTCGCAATTTGTTCAAAAAAAAAAAAGGTCAACGGCGTCTGTATGAAAAATCGCCGGCTTGTGTTGCTTATGTCCGTCTGAAAAAATTCAGTAATGTCCAAAAATCTCCCAAAGATACCGACCGACTTTCTTGAAATTTCGTCAAACTGCTTCTATGATACCTGGGAAGGATTTACCGAAAAAGTGAGGAAATGGACCAGGGACTGACCTATTCGCAGAAATCTTTTTTGGGGTTTGATTTACTTGAAATTCAGTACTTAGGTGGCTTTCTGCTTAGACGAGTAGGAAAACTGCTATTCACTCCTTGAAGTGGACCGAGGATTGGCCTATTCGAAAATTCGGAATATTTCTCTTTACTCATTACTCTTTATTTGTGTCATCAACAATTGCTTGGTGAACCGCCCAGAGCTGCTTGAGTAAATCAGCTTCAGTGCCTCCCATGCAACTTTGCGCTTTCATTATCCAGTTTGTCTAGAAGTAATTAGAGTGAATTGTCATAACCATGTTGCTTTTGACAGATCAGTATCTGAATTAAAGAGAAGCTCAGCGGCCTTGATTTTGATTTCGCATTCACGAGATCTCGCCTTAGCACGAAATGCTCTGTGCAACTACTCTGAATTTGCCTTTAACTCATTTTGAGTCTTTATTATTTATTATAATTGTCGCATAAATTGCATAAATTTCCAACATTTTGTACATACTTAAATACTGCGTGTGATGTAAAGTAGTCTGTCTATGGCGCAGACGCCAATGATTGATTGCAATTTGAACAGGAGCAATCAATTCGTAATAAAATTAATGCAAATGAATTAATCACACAAATATGAGGCGAAGGCAGCGATCAGAAAGTAAACAACAGAACATATGAAGCTTTATGATGTATACAAATACATACATACATACACATACGTATGAGAAAATAAAGGTTTTTGTAGATGAAAAGACCAAAACTGTTAAGGGTCCAATAAAATTGATGCCATTAATAAATAATAATAAATATTTACGCCTACATAAGTATGTATGATGATGAAATAAAGAAATTGCAAGTCTCGACACATCTTTAGAGGTGTGAGAAATCCCAAATATTTAAACACATACAAACAAACATCAATAGATATATGTTTAAATATATGCTTTGCAGGCCACCTTGGACTTTTTCTTCATCAGCTGTAGGCCGTCAATCAAAATTAACTGCTCGAGCGGGTGAGATGATTTATATATTTACATGCATATATGCACATATTATATATACATACATATTACTTCATACATACAAAGTAGTGTGCTTCTCGCTTGTATATTTTCCTTATTCCTTTTCTCGCTTTATGGCCAATGAATGAATGGCCTTTCACTAACGATGATAAATGCCTGAAATTTACATTGAATGCTGCTTCCTCTTTATGACAATCATTTTTGCGAATATTGCTGAAATTAATATTTTTTTCATTGCTCAAGGCAAACCTCTTGCAGAATATTGCAGTACATAATGAGGAGTATTAATCAACACACTTTACGTTTATACGTGTATGTACGTCTGCATGTGTTTTTTTAGTTTCTAAATTGTCTCTTTATTAGAAAGAAAATGTTTTTAGAGTTTTGAAAAAAAAAAATTCTGAATTAACACTTTGTTGTGTGTCAAGGAGCAGCTGAAATATTTAAATTAGAGAAATTCGTTGATGTCAGCACTGACTTACTGCCAAGTTCAGAGAGATGATTTCGGATCTTCTTACGACTTTCTTGATACAAAACTTAGGATCTGAATACAGTAGATACTCGTAAAGTCGGTACCTGTCATCATTGAGGGCAGTATAAGATTCCGATCTGCAACTCTCGCTACCATACTTCTTGCCCCACCAGTGATTAAAATACTGCTTAAGTTCTCTATTAATAAAGGATTTTCCAATAGGTGGTGTAATTTTGAAAAGTCTGCTATTCCGCTAGATATTTGATAAATAAAAACTACGCCAGTAATAAGATCGGAATTATACACGCTTGGACAAGGCATTGAAATTATTAATATTCGCTATACAAAATTCATCGAAAAATCTTCCTGACTTCCATACTGAGACCCATTAACACCTCGATGGCTGCATCAACAAGCCAAACTGTCATATCTGTGGCTCGATAAACCCAAGAAAAGCTTCCACATCATCAAACAGTAACACGGTTTGGTGCGGTTTATGTTCGGGTCTTTACTTTTCCGGAAATGAGGCTGGAGCAGTAGTTGACCTGAACGTTTACTTTCAACAAGATGAAGCCACGTGTCACACAATCAACGAAACCATCGATCAGCTAAGGGAAATATTTTTTTGTATACCAAACGAACACTACTTATTGGAAAGTAATTAGTTTTTTGAAATCCCGCAACTTTTTCTCTTATTAAAATGTCTGCTGGACAAAAATTAGGCTCTTTAATTCGCTGCTTCTCCTGCATTTGTTGGCCTCAATCAGGTCTAACTTGAACTCATATTGCTCCGTTAACAGCCCTAAAACAGCCTGAAGACAGCACCTCCCGCTGAAACTAAGATCAAGACCCAACTTTTGAATCCAGTCGTCCATGTGGCGATCTACATTGAGTCAATAATAATAGGTCAACTTATGTAATTACACTCCGAATCAAGTCGCTTTCGCGGCCTAACATTCCTGCCTCAACCACCTGTCGAAAGGAATTATCAAAGTTTCTTATAAGTAATTCTAATAAAAGTCCATTAGCCTCTCGATACGATAACATTTTAAATATGGTGGTTTCGCCTAAGTGAAAGTGAAATTTATTGTGGAGCATGCATAGGTGCATAGTTTTTTCTTACTAAAGCTCGCGGAATTTGAGAAGCCGGTTCAATGAGATGTATCACCTGATACGCCATATAAGGCACCTCTCAAGAGATATTGCCTTATACGCTTACGCTAACGCGAGCCCAAACACGGCTGGAAAGTCGATGGGAGCTATAATTGCACTTTACCCTTTCATATTGGTCGTTGGGGAGTGCCTAAAACCGAATATTTTTTACTGAGGTTAGACCCAGCCTATTCGAAAAAGCTGTCTCGGCTAAAAAACTATATAATGTTTAGCAACTCTGAGCTGTCTTCATTACGTGATGACTACCTCTCTATTTTTCGCTCCCCTTAGATCTATACAGAGAACTTCAAATGAGTTCCAACAAATTGAGACAGCTTGCAACTAAGCTCTTCATTCCACCCTCCCTTTAATTTTCCAATTTGTTTCCACAGGAACACCGAAAAGGTATCCCGAAGCACGATCACTTTCGGGTTCAGCTCAGTTCGAATAACCACATGCTCTCAGTCACAGGCTTGCTAGATTTTTCGTGTGCCCCTCAGTCGCGCTCATGGTTGGATGGGAGATGAGCAATGGTGAACTCGTCGCCGAAAAACAAGTTATTAATGGGTGCATGCATTAATTTGTGAGGTTTTTTTTTCGAAAATTAAGACTTTATTGTAAAAAAATGATTTTAATCCTCTGAAAACGGTTGCTTGAGCAACTCCTAATACTTTTGCAAGTTCTTCTTGCGTCTTCTTGTGTCTGGCATGTATCTGCGTCGAGCAAAGCCTAGAATTCTTCGTTTTGAAATTTTTTTGGCTGTCCGTCGTCTAAGTCGAAATTTCCGCTTTTAAATCGTGCAGACCACTTATGGTACGGTCGTTCGGCTAAAGCATGGTCACCATAAACGTCCAGTAAAGTACGATGTCTGTCGGTAGCACTTTTCGTTATGTTAAATTTATGAAGAAGAACTTCCCGAAAAAACATTTTATCTGGTACAAATTTCGACAATTTCAAATGAGTGAAATAAATTGTTGCTCACGATAAAATAAATTACATCTACGGGAAATGAAGCGAAATGACGGTACCTTAAAAATTAAAATAGCCACGGATGAACACGACGCGTAATATTACTAGCCCTCTCTTAGACATCGAAATGATATCCAATAGAAAATTGTTATAGAATTCATTCCTCAATTCTCAATACTAATATGAATTTGAGACTTCCAATCGACTGTAGCGTCTTGAAAGCAGAACTTATTAAAATCACTGAGGCATTCGCCTGCACAAATCTATGTCTAAAAGTCAATCAAGTAGACACTGGATCTATACAATGTATCTGAACTTCGTCAATAGTGGCGATGAAATATAAAAACACTCTGAGCGAACTATCGAATTAATGTAAAACAGGTCTACCAACAGGTGCCATTTTGGATTTAGAACGCAATCGAAGACTAAAGTCCTCTCTCGAGGAACCGAAACCAAAAAAAAAAAAAAACTCTCTAAATCGTTCATTATTCCCGCCCTGCTAATTAATGCAAAAGCGGGAATGATATTGACATCTGTTGACAACAGCGAATACCGTAGACGATATAACGATGAGCTGTACGAGTTATACGATGACTTTAATATAGTACAGCGGATCAAGAGAAAGCGACTATGTTGACTAGGCCTAACAAGATGCCCAGTCATTATGCCTGCATACCAATGGACAAAGCTGAGAATGAATTCTCCAAACTTGCACTCCGTCTACAGTAGCGATGGAAGATCTCACTATTTCGCAACCGAAAGTGCTCACACAAAGTTAGCCTAGCTGGTTCATCTAGTCTCTGGGAGTTATATCAGATACTCGCTTTCGCTCAATGGTAAATTCGTTTAAGTATGACATCACAAAAGTACACCATACTTTGAATACTACAGTTATATATCATTGCAATACACACTTAAATTAATATGAAGTTTGTAAAACTTACTTCAATTCCTTCGTGCCTTTTAACTATTTATTTATTACAGAAAAACAATTGTTAATCACACTTTAATCGGACAATGATACATTGTGTTCAGCTTATTGATATCACTCTTGCTCATGCCACGCCTTTGACCGATCACTTCACCGCCCTCCTTCAGTGGTATGATAGTCATTTCACCATTGACCGAAAATGAATAGGCATGATAGTGTAAAATACTACCATAATCATATTCCTCATCATAATCATCGATATAATCATCATCATATTTCTCGAAATTGAACTCCATACCTTCCTGAATATTATCGAATTCAATACGAACGTACTCATCGCGATTCGAGGCGCTTTGCATATGAAAGAAGCCGAGTGTGTGCAAGAACTCATGCACTATGGTGCCAAGACGGAAGCAACCCGTATCTAGAGGATAATCTTGCAGGTTATAATATTGTACGCCATTTTGCCAGCCAATGCTCGAATAGCAGCCGCCATCTTCACCCGTTATATTGACATAATATTTCTGATCTGCGCTAGCTTCTTGGAAGCGTATACAGGATAGATCTTCGATGATTTGTATACCCCTTAATATGTGATTGCGATGTGCCTCATCTGGAGGGAAGAAACAAAGACAAACAATAATAATAATAATAATAATTTATTTCAGCTAAAATTATACACCGTTAATTACCAAAATATCCATCATTGATTTTGTAGTATACTGTGTTGTTTGGCCAGCGTAGCGTTTCGTTGCGATAGCCATTGCGTTGTGTTGGCGCCAAAACAATATCCCCTTGAAAGTAGCCAGCAATCAGTTCAGCATCCTGTTCAAGGGATGGGTTTAATGGCGCAGCTAAGCTGGTTTTAGCAATCCCAAATAACAGAAAACTGATAAACAGTTTCATATTTTTTCGTTTCTTGTTCTAGAGCCTAGTCTGTATGCTGCCAGAATACGTGTTTTTGGCGCAACTAAATCCAAAATTTAATATTTATTAGTTTCAGTTGACGTTTTCAATGAGTTCATAAAATTTGTATTTATAAAACTTATCAATATCAAGTCTAAAAGCACAATTATACAATTATAATGGAGATAAAGTTTATTGCACTACCAGAAGGTGCTACCGAAACTTTGGCATGCACCCTGTAGGAAAAATTGTATTGTAAAATTTAACTGATTCAACAAAACTCAGTAGCAAAGTTCTTTAATAATTTTAGGTAGCGCAGAAAATATAATAATATATATAACAGTGTTGGGTATATTCTTTAGAGTTATTCTTAACAAGGGAGAATCAGACTAAAAAATGATGTTAGTTTTTTGGAAGGGCAGGGTTGCGCTTACCTAGATCAAAACCAAAACTTTGACAGCTATTCTCAGCAGCAATTACACAGTGGATTCAATAAATGTCCCATCAAGTGCACAAATAATTTTCCACCATTTCGAAAAAATGGCATAAACGTAGCTAAAATTCGAATTGCAGATTATTCTCTACGGAATAGTGTTGTAATCTTTTTTATCCTAAAATTTCTAAATTTGAGGCAAAATGGAGATGAGAAAACGCAAGTTAGTTTGGAATAGGTCTGACCATAGTCCACCACCAGCAGAAACAGAATTTCGCTTTGAGATTCGTAAAAACTTATGCAGATTTTTCACCACGCAAAATTAATTTGCACGTTGCGAAGACTCCAGAACGGACATATTTCCGCAGAGAGCGAGCCCAGCGAAGGTCGACCAATATCTTCCACTGAAGACGCCACTGTAGCTCTAGTGACTGGTGACTGACGAAGACTCTGAATTGATACAAGAAATGATTGTCAATGAATTGGGCTTGAATGTCATGGCTATATCGCGGATATTAAATAATCATCTGGGATACACGAAGAAATCTTCACGATGGGTACCATGAATTTTAAATGAGGTCCAAAAGGAGGCTCGAGTGCATTTTGCTCAATTTTTCCTACACAAATTCGAAAATGGTCAGTCTAGCAGCTTTAATAAAGTCGTTACTGGTGATAAATTTTGGTCATTTAAGTATGATTCAGAAACCAAACAGGAGTCCATAGTATGGCGCTCAATGGAAGCAAATCCACCAGTAAAATCTAAGTAACAAAAGTTATGATGTCAGTTTATTTCACCTGACGGTAATTGCAAAATAATACACTGAAGAGTGCATACGAAAAGTTTTGAAATATTTGCTGGAAAACAGGAAGAAAGAGGATTTGCGGCACTACTTTTTACATCATGACAACGCGCCACCCCGCACTGCTGACATAACGTGAAATTGGATTGCAATCTCTGGGATCGAAGAAATACGTCCAGAACCATATTTCCCGGACGAAGTACCTAGTTATTTCCAAAATATTAAAAAAAAAATTAAAATGAAAGGTCTTTAGTAGCAAAGAGGAGTTAAATAATGAGGATAATGCTGAGCTCGATAAGATTATAATGCAAGATTTTGAGGAGTGTTCTCAGTAGTGGATCTATGGGCTTGAGAAATGCATTGAAATCATTGTGTATCATTATGTAGAAAAAATAAAAAAGGATAAAGATTATGAATAAATGCAAAAATAATTTTTTTTCTGGCCAACTTACCGAGCTTTTGGTAAATCCCTCAGTATATATTTTTAAATGGGAAACCCAAATATGTAATAATACGAATATGGTCACACTTATGGAAGCACATAGTTACATATTTATTAATCTCTCGATAATTTGCGCCGATTGGTTAAAGCCATAAATCATATTCGCGAAACGAATTTGTTTTTATTGTTGTAGTTCTGAACGATGCACACATGCTTATCATTGGTTTTGACCACAATATATAATCTTTATAGTACTGTAAAACAAATTTGATTAGAGAGAACCTGTGGATGAATATTTAGTTGCAATTTGGAGCATCAGGCAAGCGCTTGTTGGACTTACTGATTGCGGTTTCTTCTAGAAAGTTTTCATTTTACAAACAAATTTCGTGGAAAATGAAGCTCCTACTGAGTTTCGCACTTTTCGCCATGATCAGTGCATGCCTGGCTGCACCAATCGAAGAAGAAGATCCGGAACTGATTGCTGGCTACTTTGAGGGCGACATTGTTTTGCAACCCTCGCAACGTAATGGCTTGCGTAACGAGACACGACGCTGGCCCAACAATATTGTGTACTACAAGTTCAGTGAAGGATTTTTCGGTGAGCATGAATGAGTTTGAAAGTTTAGTTTTGTTATTCATTTCTTTCTTTTGTGCTCTTCGCCAATGCAGATGACGCGCACCGCAATCATGTTTTACGTGGCATGCAAATTTTGGAAGAAGTCTCGTGCATACGCTTTAAGGAGGCTGATGAGAACCAGTCGTATTATGTCAACATCACCGGCTTAGCTGGCGGTTGCTATTCGAGTGTTGGCTGGTTGAATGGTGTACAGACTTATAATTTACAGAACTATGCGCTGGATTCAGGCTGCTTCCGGCTGGGCACGATTGTACATGAGTTCCTACACACGCTGGGCTTCTATCACATGCAGAGCGCCTCGAATCGCGACGATTATGTTCGTATTGCTACCGAGAATATAACTCCTTCTAGTATTCACAATTTTAACAAATATGATGAGGACTTTATTGATGATTTCGATGAGGAATACGATTATGGCAGTGTTTTGCATTACTCGGCTTACGCTTTTTCGGCGAATGGGGAAATGACTATAATTCCATTGAGAGAGGAGGAAGCATCCAATGTCATGGGTCAACGTCGTGGTTTGAGCAAAAGTGATATCAACAAGCTGAATATATTGTATCGTTGTCCATTGACTGTGTAATATTTTTTATAAAATCTAAAAAGAAATCATCATATTAAAAAAGAATATAATAACTTGTTCACATATTGTTCTAAATGGGCTTTAGAATCTATTTTAAAGCAGTCTTCTGGTGTTCAAAGGATAGGACTTTTTTAGTTAAATTGGATAATGAGGGTACTTGAGCTGCTAAAAAAATTTCAACCGGAGCTTTGAAGAAACAATAAAATATAACTAAATCTTTTTATAATTTCGGAACGAAAACCTCATCAGTCTATTAGAAATGTCTTTGTCAGTAGTAGACTTCTGGGATCGAAGTGACAGTACTCAGAACTTTATCTGAGCCTGTCAAGCTATGTGGTGAATCCTAAAACCTACTTACAGTCACACCAGTCATCGCATTTTAGCTCGTCTGCAAATGGGGGTGTAATGGGGTGTAGTCAAGCTGTTATAGTTGCGAGGTTAAACTAAATTCCTACTCTTGCGTCCACGTCGCGCACTCTGGCAACGTGAGCAACCTTTGTGCAAGATGCGGTGACCAACCCGTGTGAAGCCTCTGGTCACGGCTAATGAGAGAGGAAGCTTCAGTGGGGCCACTCCAACTTATTCGGTTTAAGAGTCTGCTGAAGTCAAATTGCAGCGTCTGTTCAGCAGCTCGGTCTTGAAGCAGTAAAAAAACTTTAAACTTACTCGTCTAGCGAGGTTGTGAGCTGGGTTTGGGACCCGCCAAGTAGAAACCAGCTCCAATGAAAAATGTAACAACTCCTCGGATGAGATACCCCATTTCTGTTGACGACTCCGCAAACGAGTTAAGGATCACAATTTGAGGACATGCACCTGGAATGACTCACCGACGGAAGAGAAGAATGATTTGGCCAAAGAAGCCTTTTATGAGCACCTAGAGCATACTTACGAGTAGCGGCTACGCTGGCCACGTCTTGTGGTCCGGATGAATGCGAATATTCTAGCTTTGAAAGTTTTCGATGCAGGTCCCCCCGGTTGGTAGCAGAGGAAGAAGAAAACCTCCACTCCGTTGGAAAGACCAGGTAGAGAAGGACCTGGCTGTACTTGGTATTTCGAATTAGCGCCAAACAGCAAAAAGAAGAAACGAATGACGAAATGTTGTTGAATCGGCTAAAATCGCGTAAGCGGTGTCTGTGCCAGTAAAGTAAGTAAGTAAGCAAATGGATCTTTCAAACAAAAAAGTTTTAATTAAGCTTTAAAATAGAATTGGCGAAATTTTTGAAATGTTCGAACTGGTATAATACTAGTATATTTCTGATCAAAATCTAACAATTGCCGAAGTTATGGGTTGACATTTCGTTAATATAAATTTTTGTTTGAATCAATGATTTTTTAATACATTTTGTTCATCCGAAATGCAATTTGTTCAACTTATTATGTAATTTATTTGCAGCTGCAAGCGAAAACGTTTTTCTTTTTCGTGTACGGTTATTAATAAACATCGTTTCTTGATTTCATGCAACTTACGAGTCTCCCGCGCCCACGCATAATATACGAATTACAGCAATGGAACGCTTCGCAGTGAATACGATTGCCTTCAGAGAGACACACCGGCTCCATATTATTTTTGAACTTTATTCTACTGTGGGAAAACTGCAAAAGGAGAACAAAAACGATGTCTGTTCATTGAAAATACTTCACCATGGGAAGCTGATTAAGCTGTCCATGTAAGCATATTAAGTGTATAAAACGAAAAGCGAAGGGCGTGTGTATGGAAGAAAGATGAACGAGTGATAGCAATTAAAAATCCATTAATTTAAGCCGACCCATAAAGGGCTGTACACATATATAAATAAGAACGGATGGTCATGTAAAAAGGAGGATATTGCAACCCAGTAATGTAATGAACTTGTTGAGAACTACTTTAAAATTTGGTTATCGAGGGAGAGAGACTAGTCAGCCGATTGAGTTTTTCTTTTCAAAATAACAACTAGTATTTTTAACGAGATATCCCACGCAGATTTCATTCAAGAAACAAATATCTCACATCAGTTCAAAATCCCTTGCTTTTGTCGTCACCACATTACAAGTAACAAGATTTCTTGCCATTTTCTAGTTTGAGAGTTGTAGATAAGGGAACATTCCATCGCAGGATTCAGCATACATCCCTTACGGCTGGCTCGCTTTTAAGATTGAGTAAATGTTATCTCATTTTCCTCGCCCAGCTTTTTCGCCATACGCCTGGCGGGGCGGAGTGATATGATTTATCCTAGTTTTGGATTTTCGGCACTGATATTTTTGCCAGTTGCTCGAGTTGCGTATACTAATCTTGCTTGAAGAATCCCTTTACGATCTGAAAGGATACGTCAAAGAGCAAAAATAGATGTGGCAGGAGCTCAGAAAACTCAAGATTTATGGTTGGAAAGTTTCTCCATCTTCAATATGTAAATTGGACCTTACTTTATCGAAAATGAGGCTGGAGAAGCAGCTGCGGTGAATGAATTCCGCTAGCGAGAGATTAATAATGATTTTTGTCTGACCGGTATTGGATAGTATTGATTTGAGCTACCTTAACATTCAACAAGACTGTGATACGTGCCACGCAAGCAACGAAACCATGGAGCTTTTAAGGGAAAAGTTTTCGGACCATGAGGTGATCGCAATCGGTTATCGTGATCTTCTCACTTAACCCCTGGGAACTCCTTCTTTTGGGAGCACATGAAAGACAAGGTCTACGCCAACAGGCCAAAGCTGAAGTAGCGCTATTGATGACATACAACAAGCACTGTAGGATTTGATGATAGGCAATGTCATTAAAAGGACATGACAAGCGTAGCCGTGGCGTCCGTTTGGCTCTTATAGTTTTTGTTTTTTTTATAAATGTCATATTTTCCTCTTTTAATTGAAGTAAACATCCGATCGTTTATATCAGAAAATGTAATTTTTCTTTGATTATCAAAATAGCACCTCTTATTGGAAAACCCTGTATATCGAATGCATCTACAGAGGCTCTATCCATCGCGAGCACGAACGAAGGAGCAGATATTTCGACTAGTGTTTCTATTCACCTATTTGATGTCGTGTTTTGAGGTTATGATCAACATGGCGCTCGCAGACATTTTTTCGTGCAAATGCCACCCCAATGTAATATGGAGTTAAAGCGTTCATGAACGATATATTGTACAATCGATAAGGTAGGTGATGCCAGATTTCGCTGACATAATACTGTACCCTTTAACCCAGATATATATTTCTATTTGCAATACCATTACTTGCAATGCTGTCTCACACATCTAAGACTCTGTCAAAATTTTGATAAAGAGTAATTGAAAAATATTATATAACAGAAAATTATGCAAAATTTGCAAAAAATATTTATTTCACATTTTTTAATAAATAAGAAATTATCGCTTTATGTGAAAAATACTATATATTTTTCCTCCAAGACATTTCAAGATTTAAGCTGGACTCAACCACAAAAACAAGCTAAAAATTGCCACATTTGAATTGCCAACACAATTTTTATTACTAAGCAAATGCGAATGTGGAATACTAAGTAAGAGCTCCTTAACCATATTTTCCAATTGAAAAATATTCACAAGTAATAAATTATATTTTTCGTTACGCACATTTGCACTCGATGCCAATAAGCCGCACACATATGTCCGTACTGTCTAACAGAGTGCATAAGTATGGATAGTATGTACATGTATGTGTGTATTGTAAAGTGAGCTGTTGCTGCCTGCATCTGTTTGGCTGTCCACCGAAAATTACCATTTTGAATTTATTTTTTATCACAACCAAAAATTTATGGTTTTCATAGTATTGTTGGGCTGTGGCGAAATTTTCCTTAGCACTTTGTGGAGTTGCTGCAGTTATCGTAATATGTAGGTATGCATGTATGTATATATGAGTGTATGTGTGTGTGTGTTTGTGTTTAGTGCGCCAAAAGCACATTTACACCACATAAATTATCTGAAAATGAAAAGCATTGCATTAGAGCATCGATGGCTTTGCCTCTGTGTCTCATCTAAGACAGTGTGTGTTGTATCTTGGCATAAAACAGACTAAAGTATATATGTAAGTATGCATGTTACGTAATTCATTTACGGAACAGGCAATTGTGTGTTTGAATCTCTGCTATGCATTCGCATTCGCCACTTATACTTGCTTAGCCACTTTTGTATTGCCCTGTATTGTTGTTGTTGTTGCTGTTGTTGTTTTTGTTGTTATGGAGTGCGAACAATTCACCCGCTCATTTTGACTCATTTCTTATAGAAAAGATGTCGGCACAGTGTGTTGTTTTGCGAAAAGTTAAATTAAAAATAATTCCTTTTACTTACTTAGGAGTGAGATTGACCTTCAGAGAAATCTCAAAGGATACTTAAGTATCACGAAATTTACAAAAAGGTTGCTGAGAGTAACATTACCAAGGAAATAATGTAACCCCGAAGCGATCGAGTGGTTTTTGGAAGCGAGCACAACCCATACGGTAACTGACTGATTTCGAGTTCAATAACGAGAGCCCTCAAAAAATGCCAGTATAAGCAGGCAGAGCAGTCAGAAAATGCCCGGTGCTTAATGCAACCTTTAACTAATGGGCTCCTTCGTATGGAAGTCAAGGCGACATTGTTAACTTTATTGGCAAAATGGGCTTAGAGCGATATACTTCTTGTCAGTCACAAATGGGGGGTCCCTTAGTTGATTCTTAGCCGTCTCCGAATGCCGAATGGATTTATATGAGTAGCTTTTTATTTAAGATAAGAACCACACACGGTGGATGTTCGTAGAACCCTGGCCTTCCGCATAACAGTACGCAATGCTATCCCCTCAGTAATTGCAGCCATCTGTTATAAAATAGTCTCTCTCAAGTGAACTTGGTATATGGGAACAACTTGAAGAAGGCATCTAAAGTTCCATATTTCCAGCCATCGAACCTATTGTTTCGACAAGATTCGAAAAAAGGTGGTCCGATGAAGATTGTTACACCATAACAGTTAGAAAAAAGAACTGTTAAACTTTCATCAATACGAACTACAGCAACGAATAACGCAATAGAGAGATACCAAGAGTTGAAAAGGA